GCTCTTTGGAAGGCAAGCATTCCACAATGGTAAGTCAAAGGTTTAGATTTATGTTTTTTAAATGAGGATAGAGATAGCTATTTGCTTTAAAACTGCAAAGAAGGATATTTAAGAGAATCATGTAGCTATAAATTTTAAAACATGGATATATTCTATTAACTGTAAGATGCAAAGAAAGCAAGGCACCTTTGTGAATTTTGTTCTTTGTTTTCTAATTCTTTGCAAGAAACTGCACATATACGGCTTGTCTTTCACTTGCTGTTATCTTTTTCTCAGAAATGTTTGTGGAAATATTCAGAATTTCGTAAACATTTAGGACCATGCTTTTAAAACTGACAGATTTGAAATACAGTTTAAAATATAGTTCTTTTACAATGAAAAGTGTAATACACAGTTATTTGCCTGCATTTCTGTTTTGTTCTATCAAGTTGTGTCCTATTTCAGCTCTTTAAGCCTCCAAATACTTTTGCCGAATCTGAATCAACAGTTAGGTAATGTTAAATAGATAGTCAAAGTCCTATGGCCCAATTTTCCTCTAATTTATGCTCGCGTAATCCCCAAAGTTTCAGACACCAGTTACTAACTTTGAATCGAACCTCAGGACTGGCATAAGTTTTACAGAAGAGACAGTAGTTTCTGTAATATATGTAGATTCATGAATAAAGAGAGAAATTATCTACTTTTTTCTCTGCCTAAGATTTTCTGAGGGCTTGTCTATACTCAGATAAGACTTAATTGAGCAAAATAGTTTGGTAGCTCCATCCACATTAATTCATCCACTTTCAAAGGACATTAAACCCCATTCAGAGGATTCTGTTCTGCAAGATGGCTAGTGGCATCCCCTATTTAAGAGAGCAAGCAAGAAAAAAAAGTTCCTTGAAGTGCCTTGCTCACAGACCACCCAGAGCAACACAACTCTGGTGTTTAGCTAAGAGGTCTTGGCATCAGTATAACACTAATCTCTATAATTTCTGATGAGGGTTACTGTTTCTGCCAGTGCTTTCTTACCTATTTGATACCCTCTACTTACATGTAGAATCATAGAATAGTTAGGGTTGGAAAGGACATTAAGATCATCAAGTTCCAATCCCGCTGCCATGGGCAGGAACACCTCACACTAAACCATGTCACCCAAGGCTCTGTCCAACCTGGCCTTGACCACCGCCAGGGAAGGATGTTGAGATCCTCTGTGGAAAGCCATGATTCTCTGAGGTTACAAATCTCTGGATAGCTGCACAGCACAGATGGCCTGACAGATACACTCCAAATGCATGTGGAGCCTCATCAGAAGCCAGCTGCAATGTTTCATCCTACAACTTCACAAAGAGGTGTTGCTTAGACAATTTTCCTTTGGCCAGGCACTACAGAATACCACTCTTTAAGCATTTCAGTCTTTCTTCTTAACTTCTCTCATCCAGACTATGGTGCTGAGCACAGCAACTAGCTGTATTCTACCCCAAACCCTCAGGAACTCCAAATCACAGAACTGCTGTGGAAATTAAGCATTACACCCTTCCCAGACCACTTCACAGACCCTTCTCCTCCTCCTTTTCTCTACACCACAAATGTCCCACAGCCCTGTAAGAAAGCAGCACATCAAAGATTAAAATATCATTATTTTTTTTTTTCACAACAGACGGAAGAGATTTCCCTTGCTCACCATCTGCCCAAGGTTCAGGACTTTTCAGTGTCTTTTGACATTCATGATTCAAGTAACCCAAAGTAGACAGCTGAGCTACCTAAAAACAAAGACTCTCATTGCTATTTTAAACCCCAGTTTTAAGTAGCAACAGCCTCTGGAGTTCAGGACAGTAATTTGGAAAAATCTACTTGTTTTACAAATCTTTAATGTTAATCTGCAACCTCTATCAAGAAAATAGAGTAACTTCCTCCATCGTTTCTCAGCCTCTGTCCATTCCTAAACTTTTGCCTGAAGTTACCTAGCCTGAGCAATCCATCAAAATAATCCTGTGCTCTCTCATGCTTCTCCAGTCCTTCTATCCCTGTACAACCATCATTACAAAGTTATTCAGGCTTTTCCAGAAAAGTCTTGGTTATTCAGCAGGTCCCAACGGACATCTTTGAAGAGCTCTTACAGATGTTTAGCTGTTGCCTTCACTAGACAAAAGGAAGGTTGTGCTGTGACATATCCAAAACTGTGTGTGCATGGTTTGACAAGATGGCTCATGGGCTGCTAAGCAGAATGTACAGCTCTGGAATTTTGCATTGAGACACTCATTTGTGTCTCTCTTATCTGCACAGCCACAACTTACTGGAATATGATGAGGTCTGTGATCTTCACTTCACTGACAAATCTGGAGCAGTTGCTGTACCCAAGTGGAGAAATAAGATACTATACACACAGTGATTTGCTGGATAGATGCATTTGACTCAAAGGCAATAAATAAAACAATAGTAAGAGTCTGACAGGGCTTTCAAGTGTATAATACTACTATAGCATTTTGTGATTTCTAGAGATTGGACTTCAGCTGGTGTCAGATGCTGCTGAGACAGTTCTGTCTTATAATTTTGGTGGGTTTTTTTCCACCTAAAGAAAAACCCACCAAAGCAGTAAAATATCTGGAGTGCCCTTTTCCAGTATTTCCATGTACACATAATGTTATTTCTAATTTTTGATTCATGTTCAGTGACTTAGCTTTTGAAAATAAAGATAGAAGCCTTCCAGTGTCTCAAAGGGGCCTACAAGAATGCTGAAGAGGGACTCTTCATCAGGGGCTGTAGCGATATGACAAGGGGTAATGGGTTTAAACTTAAACAGGGGAAGTTCAGGTTAGATATAAGGAAGAAGTTCTTTACTGTGAGGGTGGTGAGGCACTGGAATGGGTTGCCCAGGGAAGCTGTGAAGGTTCAAGGCCAGATTGGACAGAGCCTTGGGTGCCATGGTTTTAGTGCGAGGTGTCCCTGCCTATGGCAGGGAGGTTGGAACTAGATGATCTTAAGGTCCTTTCCAGCCCTAACTATTCTATGATTCTATGATAATCAAAGCAGAATTAAATTCATGCTATGGGCTTTGTGTTTTTTTTACAGAAGAGCTTTCTGGCTTTCCTTGTTGCAATGGGCATCACAGTGTCACTGGGTGATGCATACTGTTTTTCTAAAATAAACAAGCCAGAGGAGACCAATAAAGGTAAGAACAGGGAAGATTCTCTCATTTGATTGTCCTGTGGAAGCTTGGCTCTATGTGGAGCTGCCAGGAAGGGCTCAAAATATAAGGGATGGAGAAGACGTTAGAAAGACATGTATTGGTTGCAGCACCAAGTTGCCAAAAGTAGGAAAAAACAAAGTCTTCCCCAGGACTGGGTATGGCTGCAGCAATATTTTTGCTACTGATGGTAGGTTGCTATGGCTATTCCAGCACATGATGCTGATGCAGGAGTTGAGAGTAGTTCTGAATAGTATGTTAACAGGTGGGGGACCTGGCTGTTTGGTTGCTCACTTTCATCCTAGGTCTGTCACACTGAAACAGTCTCTAACAAGTGAGGAAGAAATAAGTTCATGCTGTCAAAATAGTCCAGATGATGACCTAGAGAACTTTATTACTGCCAAGAAAAAACATTTTCAGAATACTTGAAATAATTTTAAACTTTTCAGCCTTTATGTGGAGGCTTAAAGAATTTTTTTTTTTTTTTTCTCATGCAGGCTGTGTCCTGGATGGAAAACTGTACCCCTACGGAGAGATCACAAGGACAGAAAATTGCTTCAGGTGCCACTGCAGCAAAACACATATACAGTGTTGCTCCCTGTAAGTTTGAACTTCTTGGTAGCATCATTGCCTGTAGGAAAAGCACAGTTTTCAATTTGCTGGGGGTAAATGAGTTTCTAAGGGCACAAGAGAGCCTTTATTCACCCATGTAAAAGAGCTACGGCAAGCCACATACAGCTTTTGATCATTTTTATCCTTGGCTGCGTTTACCTTATCTTACTTTCTGCTGACCAGGAGTGGACACAGGTCCTTCCAGACACAACCAGTTGGTTGTCTTTAATTTGTAGGAACTGGTGAACTCCTCTTACGCTGCAGTTAAGTCTTTCCTTAGCAGGTAAAGTTGGGGTAGGAAGGAATTAGTTCCGCAAGGGACTCAAGTGAAGCTCCTCTAGAGGGCTTATGATGATCCTTTTTATGACCCTTTCCAGAGGTGCTTGTCTCCAGTTAATATGCTGACCCAAGAGATACAATCTATCTCCAATATCCTCCTCTCAGACTACCTTCTCTAAGGGCCAAAATTTCTTGATTATGATTATCACCTTTGCTCAGGTGACAATCTCTCAGGAAACAGCTACCACATTCTAAACAAACTTGCAATAATGAAAAAGTAATGAAAAAAGAGATAAAAGATGCCAAAGCCATGCTTATGTTGGTCTGTAGAGTGGTGTGATAGAAATCCCTGTGCTAGTCCTGAGCATACTGCTACATCTGCACAGCACACTGCAGCAAGGTGTCATTTGAGGTCCTAGAAGCTGTAGTTGTGGGAGCTTTCAAACTAGTTAAACTGGTCTTAGGCATAGCAACAGAGATTAGTTCCATCTATAATCATTGAACCACTGAATTGTTTATTGCTGTCAAGCTAACATTTGGTTTCTCTTTGCCAATGACAGCTTTCATACTCCTCTCAGTTATGACAGAGAGAGCTGTAGAGTCATTTTCAATAAAAAAACCTGTGACTATGAAGTGGTACAGAAGAGCGACCCCACAAAGGAGTGTAACAGCTATTCTCGTGTGGGCTAACAGAACATCTGTTCCAAACCTTTCTGCACTGTGGAATTCCTTCCCTTCCTACAGATGTTTTGCCTTCACAGAGAAGCTTGAAGAGATGGGAGATCTTCTAAGAGAGCACTTCAACAGCTCACTTCTAATCTTCCAATCGTTCTAATTCAGTGTACAAGATGCATAATCATATACAATGTTTCATTTGTTATTACTTGCATCACTGAGCTTTTTTAAACATAATAAATTCAGATGAAACATCCAGAAATGCCTCATAATGGTTCTTTTTAGGTAATAACATGGGGCAATGTCACCTTCTTTGAGAAAGGAATGAATCCACATCACTACTCTGACATGCTCTGCACCAGTACCCCTGGCACAAGCCACACTCGTGCTTTTCAGGGTCTGTTCTAGCCAAGGGTCACAGCAGACATTTTAGCTCACTAGATGTCAAAGTCCATTATCATTTGGAAAGTATGCATTGTTTGGGACATGCTGTACAATTGGACCTACTCAGGACACACCTAAACTGCTGCAGGAGTTTTGGCAAGAGTCCCCTGAAAACAGAGGATGGAAGATCATCATCCTTTTTCTTGCCCCTACCCACTTATTTTCTCCCATGTGGCCTCTTCCAAGCCTTGCTTCTGAAAATCTGCACACTGCACTGCAGCAGTCAGTGGTTCTTGCCCACACTGAAAAAAAATATCTAGGTCCCTGCCCATGGCAGGGGGAAGGAGGGGAAGGGTGGGACTAGGTGATCTTAAGGTCCTTTCTCACTCTAACTGTTCTATGATTCTGTGATCAGTCCCTGGAGACATGCTTCCTCATGGCAACAGAGCTTGAGGTACTAATAAAAAGCAGATGCCTTTTGTCTCTTTAGTAGAAAAATTCCCCAGATCCCTGGGAGAGAAATCCAGTGATGGGCTTTAAAACTGAATCTTACACCTGGCAATTGTTAATATCCTAAATCTGTCCACACAGGAGAGCAGGCAACAATACCCTATAAAATACTGCTTGTACATGGTCTCTATGCTCCAGAACTATTACTGCATTTAACTGTTGTGTGTCTTAAGAAAGAACACATCTTCCAAGACAAATGGGCTGTTCAATGATCCATAAGCACAACAGGTCTGTTTTCTTGTAAGAGTATGAGGTTACACACAGCTGAACACTTAGAGAAGGGTTCCTCACACGGTCCCAAATCAATTATCAGCTTGTATTTATTCAGCAGAGGTACTTGCTTCTCAAGACAACCCATCTCAAACTCTGCAAGCCATCAGTAGACTCAGAAGGATTTAAGTTGGTATGTTTTCTCTGGCTTTGTTTTTGGTAATTCGCCAGTGAAAACTCTTTTAAACTTTCTTATGGCTTCACTCAAGATATCTCCTTTTGGGAAAAGGATTCCAGCGTTTTGCAAGCAGTGGTGTTACATACTTCGCCTTTTAAAGTTCTCTGTGCTGCAGGCTGGGTATCAGTCAATAACTCTGTTTCTGTACAGTTGGTTCCTGCAAGGCAAAAAAAAAATGTGAGGGACCTGAATTAGTCGGTTCAGCTTTTTCCAGTATAAACGTTTGCACATGCCTTTTTTAAATCTTCCATTCTCTGATTTAATCATGTCATGCCTCTGAACAGCAGCGTGTGGAAATGAACGTTCTCATATTGCTTAAGGTCCAAAGGTAAGTTTTTTCCATTTCGTATACTGCAGGAAAGGAACAATTTTGAAACTTGTCCTGACTTCTCCCCTTTTTTGCCAGTTCATGTCAAAATTACACAGAACACAGCCTCAACTGGTACCTGAAGGAATGTTCTCACTTACAGAACAGCTGCAGCTTCTTAGGGCAAGTGATATTTTTAGCATGGACATCCAAAGGCTTCCTACATAGCTCACAGAACTGTTTCTTGAGAAAAATCAGGGTGTTTTTTTCTTCCACCCCCTCCTCCTTTTTAAATCCTCATTTTAAAAATTTACTTTTTCATGGCTAACAAAAATGACTTGGAGGTTCCTTATGGTTTATTTGTTTAATTCAAACCACTGAGATGTGCACACACCAAGATTAACACTCAGTTTGTTGCAGTTTGAAGCTGTGCTATGTGATCCTGGAATTATTTTAGTATTCCAAGTTTTTTCTTACTAGTTTAATAAATTAAGACTGCGTTTTTCTTCTAAAACTTCTGAAACTTAGTTATTATCTCATAAGGTTACATTTGTGTTTTTAATATTAATAGCTCCTCAGTAAGTCTTCATATTTTAAGTGATTTACAGACGCGTAGTTCATTTTTAAATGAAATAGAATTCCATGCCATGATAGCTGTCTTGATGCTGTTCTGTTCTAGTTGCTGCCCATCAGGAACAGACAGGAAGGGTGCAACACGGGCAATGGAAGGAAACAGGATTTTACACATTATATTGGAATTAAAGAGAAAAGATCCCAACAGCCAAGATACCCCATGGGTTTGGCTGAAGCATTTTGTGGCTGCCCTTCCCACCTCAGTCTGTTCTGTGTCCATACTGCAACAATATCCATGGAAATAGTGACTAATACGTTTAGGAACTTGAAACAAGCTTATGCTCTCTAAACAGAGCTGAAATACAGTGTAGGTATAGAATTAACAGAACTTCCAAAAAAAAAAAAAAAAGGCCCAGAGGTCACTCAAGTAAGTAACTGACAGTGACAATATAAAACTGAAGTTAAGCCTCCTTTCATTTAGTCCATGCATGTGTACGTTGTGTTAAAGATGGAAGACTGCATTAAATGTAAAATGAATACAATTCTTGGCTATTTCCTACACCAGGAGAGATATGAAGACGTAAGCTTTGAGGTTCGTAGGTATATGAACCTCAGAGTTAACAAAAATATTTCCACCAAGATAAAACTTCCTTCTATCACACCTACAGACTGTTTCTGTGTCAACAGTGCACTGTGTATTTTAGCAGTTTGCTTGGGCTTTTTTCTATAAATGTTGTTCTTTCTCACATGCAAATGTGGCAGACTTTGCTTAACAATTGTAAAAGCCATGTACATTGTACCTAGTACTGTTAGTTCAAGGTCAAGACAAATTTATATGTAAAATTGTGTTTACTTGTGATCTGATATGCCTCATGCTTTCTCTTCTTGCTTTCCGCCTCTCAATGGTAGTCAACCTACTGGTGTTAATAACAGGATATGTGAACTTATCTTCTGTAAGGAGTCCTGCACTTAACTCCCTCCTATAGAAAGCTGATTCCCTGTCAAGAATGTGAGAGTAGTACTCTAATGCTGGGTTAAGTAGCAAGGTTTCTGGCCTGCTTTCATTCTAGTTGATCTCTTCTAGCTTTAAGTTCATAAATAACATTACTGCTCCAAAACCATGCTGTGCTTCTTTGTTTACTGCCTAGCACTAAAAGATACAGAAAAAACAAGGCTGACAATATTGCATTACTCTTATTATCTCTGCGGTCAGTGACATGTAACTAGAAACCCCAGCTGAAGAATGACTAAGTAAAATAGTGAGGTAAATCTTCAAAGAAAGTTTCCAAGATTTTTCCCTGCCTTAGGAAGAAACACGATAGATGGAAAGAGGACACAGAACTGGGCAGAGCACTGATATTCTTAAAATATTTTTAGTAAGAAATAAACCAGTTGGGAAGAAAACATAAGATTTCAACAAAGTAATGTTTGTTGGAGATATCTGTTGCCCACACAAGTGATATACCTATCGTCCTGTACAAAAACAGCATGAAGAAACAACATAATATAGGCCACAGGTTACCTAACTAATCAATGTATGAATGGACTATCTTCATAGTTTGCTGCTCTGAGTAGTGTCAGCACCACAACATGTTGTTAGGGTCCCCCGAGTTCACAGATCACACAGGAGCTTCCTCACCATGGCCAAGCTTACACAGGTTACTCCTTGCTGCATCCCAAAGAAAGCTGCTTGGGAGAACTTTTCTCCATACCTAGCTTGCACCTAGAAAACAGGGAGGGTCCTGCAATGGGAACAACAGGGTGGTTACTGCTTGTCTGAAAAGTTGAGAAAGAAAACACTCATGCACATTGATTGGATTTTTGGATTTTGGAGTTGAGTGACAAAGGTGTTTTCTGTCACTCAGCACCAAATCAGCAACTTGACTGCATTTTGGCTGCAACATATTCCAGAAGTTTCACTGTAATACACTAGTATCAGAAACTGCTGTGTTTGGTAACTTACATTCACATACAAGAACTGCTGAAGGGTGCCTTTCAAGCAAGATATTGAATCAAACTCCACAACATAAAAAAAGAAAAAAAAAAAAAGAATATAAATAAGTGCAATGTGATGATACTTTTTTTCCAAACTGTCACAGAATATTTGCGCCAGATTACCTTTGAGGACATGGAGGAGCCAATAACTTAGGAAAGACTCTGTGGTACTTTCCACAGTCTTGTCAGCCAAGGAGAAATAGTTCTCAGAACAAAAAGATTAAAAAAACAGACACGCAAAGCTCTTGCTTTTTCTTCTGTAAAGAGGTTTCCAATGCCTGTACTCATGAGCTGTCATGTTTTGTTGGTTTGCCAATGATTAGGAGTCAAGGGCAGGAGCCTCATGGCTGTGATATTAGTCATCTCCTGCTTCAGGGCAGTGCATGCATCAGCATTGCCAAATCTAACTTATTAGATAGGCTGACTGTGGGCAGCTTTATCAAACCTATGAACTTCAGCAGGCACTTCAGCTCTTCTCTGCCATCCTGAAGAAAGATCTGGTAACTGCAGAAAAAACAATTTACGCAACCTACCCAGTGGAAAGCCAGCTAAGATGCCCTGTGAATAGTGGTCTCTGGCCTGCATTGCAACAATGCTGGCGTTCTCACATGGACTTTGTGAGCTTTGTAGTTTGGGTAGAAGACCTGGGGTAGTCACCCCAGCTTGGAGTTCAACCTCTACTCCCAATCCCGCACAATAATGGAACACAATTAGGCTTCTACCTAATGGAAAACTGAACAAAAAAAATGGTTATCTATGACCCTTTTCTAAAGTCCTGCAGATGCCATCCACTCTCCACAGAAACCATGTTTTACATGTAACCCTTCCAACCACTACTCCTTTCCTACAAGAGTTTTTTTTCATGCTCAGCTGATGAAGAAAGCTGAATGATTGTTCCAGGTCCCTCTCTTGAAATGTAGGTGGTTCAAACTCAGCATGCAACTTTTGTTGTCAGTGACAACCACAATGTCTCTAATAGGTTTCTCAGGGCAAGTGCTAAATACTCATTTTAGACTCAAAATTTCTTTCAAAGTACCTCCTATGACTGCTATCCAGATCTGGTGTGGCACAAAAGCCACACCTATCTTTTCACTGCCTTTTAGAACTAAACCTTCCTGTATATAATTAGCTTATTTTAATAATGTCCTCCCCATGAGGTCATTCTGCAGAAACCTCATTGGAGATATTCATGCATGTTCAGTTTGCTCAGTGACTGACATAATGAATTCCCTCTCTATATAAGTCCTCTGAGAAGATGAGCTTCCTACAGGCTGCCTCCATACTGAAAGCCTCATAATGGTGAGTCCTTACATTTTATATTGTAAAAAAAACATGTAATGTTGCTATAGATTTTAAAGGAGGCTCTTCTGGATTTAACTCAGGATTCAGACATCTAAGCAACTTGGAGGAAGTATAAATTCTGTGTTTTGCAAGCAAAAGTCAGACAGATAGGCACAGGCAGGTAAAACCTTGGGTAACATATCAGTATGTATATGTCAAGAGTTGTCTAATAGGAGTCCAGCTAAGGCTTTTTATTATAACCTGTTTTCACTTACATGTAATGTTTGGAGATACCTTTTCTGGCAGAAAGCAGCCCTGTTATATCTCAACCTATAACTGGTTAGTTTTTGTGAAGAGTCTAGATAATATCTGAAGTTAAACTCAAAAATGTCTTAATTTTTACTCATTTGCAGCTCTGTGGGTTTTAATCTCTCTTCTGCAAAATAAAATGCTAGTTTCTCCTCGCCTCTCAGCTATAACTTTTTTATCAGTCACCAGTTCAACTCTTTCCAAAACAAACACACATAAATACAATGTGTGTGTGTGTCATTGTCTACTCCTGGTCTACTTTTACCAACATTTGAAATTCATCACTGCTAATTCCATCGTAGAGTTCTTCTGCTCTTTTCCTTCACATCCCTAATGAAAACTTTGAATATCAGGTTGAAATATTTGAAGGGCTAAGAGATTAGCTGAGAAATTCAAGCTGACCTTTCAGAAAAAGCTGATGACAAAGGTTAGATAGTACAGAGTTACCTAGGTTGGAAAGGACATCTGCAAGTCATTTGGTCATGCTTCCTGCCCAAAGCAGGGCCAAGTCTTGAGAGTTCAACTGTAGCTGAAGTTCTTCAGCTTGTTCCTAGTCCTTCAATATTAGGTTAAGACTCCCAGTGGGTTCTTCAGACTCCTGTGAAGAAGTTTTTACAACTAGGAGTGAGGTTAGTAGCAGAGGCAGTCAGTGACCGATCCCATGGAGAAAAGAAGAACAAGAAAAATTAAAAGGGGAGGAGAACATAATACACTCCTTTCAGAAACAGTTCTGGGTCTACACGTTCTGTATCAGGCAATGCTTGCTTTTAACACCTTGGAAGAAAGACAGGCTCTTTCGCTCCTCCCACGTAATGCTCTGCTTCTGCTTCTTCTAAATGGTTCGTATTCCTAGTTGCATACTGAAGTTTCTAAACTGCAAAAGACAATTGGATTTTTGATTTGAAGCCGCAATGTATTTTGTTATTTCTAATGGTAGTATTTATGATCAAGAAATATTAATAGTTACTTAAATATTCCTATGAATTCTGCTTTCTTGTACAGAAAACCATCTTGGCCTGCCTTCTTGTTCTTGCTGTTAGCATTCCACTGTCCAATGCTTATTGTGTCCGTCAGCCATCGAAGCCAGAGTTGTCTGATGGCAAGATTGTAGGTAAGAAATCAGCTAACATCAACTTGACAGATGCCACCACAAGTACTGCCTGATTTGGTTTGTCCATTCCATACAATTTATCAAAATTCAAAAGTAAGTGGAAACAGTGGAGAGAAAACTTTAGGAAAGGGGAGGAAAATGGGGCATGGAGAGCAGGGCATTTATAATGCTATAAAAAAGAAGAGGTTATCTGAGGAGCATCACACAGGCCAAATTAAAAATTAATTTTGTGTAGGGAAGTAGCACAGGCTTACTTTATCCATCTGCATGATGCAATAATTCATGTTTTCAGTATGGCAGCATATTTAGAAATACAAAGAAGGGGGAAAAGGGCCTTTCTCTGTGTGTGTGTAGACAGTATAAAGTAGGAATCAGATTGGCAAGTGTTCAGCGCACTGATTAATTTACTCATTAGTTGTTTCCATGTCCAAAACAAGTTCTTAAGAACTGAATGGCTGCTCCACTTGAGTATGAGACTGTTTCTCCAGAACGTAGCTTCTCTCATCTGTAGATTGATAGACTAGCTATAAGAAAATAAGTGCTCAGAAAAGAAACATGCAATTATTTGGACACAAGAAAAGCTGTTATGTGCCAATATGCAAAATAAACCAAGTGCCTCCAAAACAAGATTTTCTTGGAAAGATAGTGCTACTGCTCGACAAGTGGGTTAGCATTGCTAAAGAAACAAGACATTTATAGGCCAAGATACAACCTAGAAAGCCCAAACTCTCCAGTCTGTCTTGTCCTAGCCGCATAAAATACTACTTTCCAGATCACTTATTTAGAAAGTATATTCTGTGAGTATTGATGGGAACTTTATATGCAATATGTTCTTTCTTCCTACAGTTTGGGAAAGTTTTCCAGGCAGATTTAGTCTTGCTCTAAATGAAGAGTCAACAGTAGTTGGTGTCAATGAGGGGGAAAGTCAAAGCCTTTTCTAAATTCTGACCAGGTCTATGCCTGGGGGCTCCAACTCCTATACTTAAAGACGAACTACTCCAGGAAATGTGCTGCTGCTGCTCATCACAGGAAACAGAGGCAGCCAGGTTACCCTTCTCCATGCATTAGAATAGTAGCAGTCCTGCTCTGTAGCAGTCTTTGGGAACCTATTTTTTTGCCAGATAGGGATGCTAATATAAAAAGCCTGCAAAGATCCAACCCATTTTGAGCAAGCAGTAGTGTTGCTACTGCAGTAGGTCTGACACTGAAGGCTGCTTGCACACACCGTTTTCAGGATGTCGTGACTTGAATGGAGAGCTGCATGAACTTGATTCCCAGTGGAGGACTGACAGCTGCCATGATTGCTCTTGTTCTGAGGGTGCAATTGACTGCTGCTCCAGGTGAGTTCAGAGCAGCAGTGGGGGTTTTCCTCTGCTGCCATGACATAACACAAAACATTCCTTTTTATGCAGGGGTCCCTGAGAAATGACTGTGACCCTTCTCTTGCTCACTTGATATCACAAAGTTACACATTAACCCAATACCATCATCTCTGAACACGCAAAGAGACTCCGCTGACAAATATACCTCATGTTTAACAAATTATTCTTGATTTTAAGAAGAGTACTTCATCCTTCTCGAGGATAACATTTCAGGCAAGATACTGATTCAAGAGAGACCACATAGTTACTTAAGAAATTTCTACTGCTCCTAATTCAGGTCTTCCCAAAGCCACACATTACCCCTCTTTTCTTTGAGGGGCAGCTCAAGATACACTGGCCTGCCTGTAATTTTCCTATAGTGACACCCAACCACTCATGCAATTTTGTTCCATACTGAAGAGAAAAAGCAATGATAGTGGAGTAGCAAATAAACACAACAGACATCATTTAGGTTTAAATAAGATTAGTAAACTACAACTTTCTATTCATCCTGCTTAAGCAGCAGACTAAGTAACATTTGTGTGAGCCCCCTTTTCTGCTCTTGAACACCTTCCCAGTATAGACTCCTCCTACTAAAAGTGTAGATATCACCTGAAATGGAAGCTGTTTACTTCTTGGTCTCATCATCTCTTTGTCTTTCTTTTCCTGACCGCAGCTTCTCAACACCATCTGACTATGATGAAGAGAATTGTGTAAGCATTTTCAACAAGGAGACCTGCACTTATAAAGTAGTGGAGAAAGATGATCACTCAAAAGAATGCCCAGTACATGAGTGGGTGGGCTAATAAAGAAGGATTGTGGATTTGGGAATTATTTCCTTTTTTGTTTGTTTTAAGAGTTCTTTATCACAAATGAAAACAACCTGAAAAATGCAGCTGTAAAGTGAAATCTACTCATAAATCCTAATGCACAATAAAACTGAGTATCCACTCACAAAGGAGTCCCTTGCTTTCTCTGCCTTCTGCTTCCCCATGAAGAAAGAACTGACTTGTTCCTTCCTTAAGACCATAAATTAAACATTTTAAATTTTAAAGCATCCTCAGTAGATGTTAATTATAATTCTTCTGAATTCATAACTCAGTGCTAGGGAGTATATTCTGCTATCTCTGCACAGCTAAAAGAAAAACAGAGGAAGCATCAGAAATTCATGTGACATTTGCTTGTTTGAGGACAGAAACCTAAAGAATTAATATTAAAAAAAAAGAAAAGAAATGGAACATGGAACTGTTGGAACAAGTCCAGAGGAGGGCCACAAGGATGATCAGGGGACTGGAGCACTTTCCCGTAGGAAGATAGGCTGAGAAAGTTGGGGCTGTTCAGCCCCCAGAACAGAAGGCTGCGTGGAGACCTCATAGCAGCCTTCCAGTATCTGAAGGGGGCCTATAGGGATGCTGGGGAGGGACTCTTCATTAGGGACTGCAGTGATAGGACAAGGGGTAACGGGTTAAAACGTAAACAGGGGAAGTTTAGATTGGATATAAGGAGGAAATTCTTTCCTGTTAGGGTGGTGAGGCACTGGAATGGGTTGCCCAGGGAGGTTGTGAATGCTCCATCCCTGGCAGTGTTCAAGACCAGGTTGGACGAAGCCTTGGGTGAGATGGTTTAGTGTGAGGTGTCCCTGCCCACGGCAGGGGGGTTGGAACTAGATGATCTTAAGGTCCTTTCCAATCCTAACCATTCTATGATTCTATGATTCTATAAATGAAAAGCAGCTTAAGCCTTCTGAATACTCTCTTTTCTAAGAAAGTGTCTTATATGATCTTTTATCTTATATGGCTCCCTGGAGCCTGCCCAGCTTAAGGACTGAAAAAGCCACCAGCTACCTTGTCTAACCCAGCACTTTACTTACATAGCATCCACAGCACAGCAAACCGAGTCCTCAACCTGGGGTTTGAGTAAAAGAAAAGGTCCTTTATTCAGATCAGCCCTTAAGAAATTCAAGTTCTTAAATTGGCCAATAGGCAGGATTGCAGCTAGATGGAGATACTTCAAACAGGGAAGACACTAGATGATTCCACAAACAATAACTGAGATGGATACATTTTCCAGTATAAGCTCTCCAGCTCTCCCTCACAGTACTGCTTCATAATCTTTATGGGTACATTTGCTCAGTTGCACCAAGGTGCTTGGGAATTGTAGGGTTGCTATGTCTGGTTTCCACCAAAGGAGGTAACACAGGAAAGGTAGCAGCATGGATGGAGAGAGTTTTTTTACAAGAGCATGTAAGGATAGGGCAAAGGGTAAAGGTTTTAAACTAAAACATTCAGATTATATACAAGAAAGAAATTATTTACAGTGAGGGTGGTGAGGCACTGGAACAGTTGTGGCTGCTCCATCCCTGGCAGTGTTTAAGACCAGTTTGGACAGGGCTTTGAGCAACCAGATCTAATGGAAGGTGTACCTGCCTGTGGCAGGGGGCAGAGCTAGATGATCTTCAAAAAGGTCCCTTCCAACCTAAACCATTCTATAGATGTCTTTCTGTCTGCAAGAGACTTCCAGGTTCAGTTTTATGGCATGTCCATTGAGAAGGGCAAGTCTCAAGTAAGTCATAACCAAAGATTTATATTTTTTAAGGCCTACTAGATGTTTGCATCCAAAGTCCAGAAAAGCCAGCCTGTACCAGCATTCCTATATGACCCAGATCTATTTAACTACATTTTAAATCCACCCAAGCAGCTTTCTCTACCATCTGCTAGGTCTTGTTGCAATATGCGTATCTATCATGTCAGCTATGCAGAAGTAGGTAATTTCATGTCTAAACCAAAGAACCTCCAGGGAACAGTCTGCTCTCCTCTTGTCTGCTCCAAGTTTCAACATGGAAACAAATTATGTTACCTGTTGCATCTAGTTTTGGAACACCAGAAGCGCAGCAAGGACTTGGCTCTCTTCTGTCTGTAGGACTCTAGCTGTGGGAGGGTGACAAAACTCCTGAAAAATCAAGAAAGCAGAGACAGAGCATGTAAAGTTCTGCTTGTCAAAAGGAGGAAGAGTAAAGCAATGTTTTGTTTTGGCATTTCACTGCTTCAACACACACAGCTACAGTCTTACACAGAGAATACATTCCTCCACACTCGAAGCTTTAGATCATAACATTGCTTGCACGATGTAGTGGAAATGAAACACTCACAGAAGAGTTTCCTCAATTAACCTAACGTGTAAAAGGTTTAGGAGACTCTGCAGAGCCTTGGGAGACACCACAGCTCAGGCAAAGCAGAAGAGGTTGTGGGCTCTCTTCCTTCCAGTTTCCCTCTCCTTACCTGGTAGCCCACTGCTCTCCTGCTACCAAGAGAGGCAGTTTCAGATAGCTGGTCCTCTACTCACAGTGAGTACTGGAAAGGTGTTCTTGGCCTAAAAATGAAATCTAGTACTTAGCCTACCAAGGCTTTAAACCAAACACCAGAACACGCATAAATCTGATGGAAGTTTTCCTATTAAACAGTGCTCATCACCTAAAACTGAATGGTTTTGTAGCCATTCAATGTTCCATGAAGATTTTTTGCTCCAGTCTTAAAAATAAAATTCAATTTAACTATAAACAAGGAAAGTGCATTTCTCATTTACATTATGTATACCAAAGAAGCTAGAGGCTTGCAGTTCACATTCTGCTTCATGCCATTTAAAAAACCCACAAACTCTGATAAATTCGATTCATGACAATTTTTCTTGTTTGCTTTGCTCTTAGCTCTTCTATTGGTATGCAGAGAAGTTTGCATTGGTACCTTTTGAAAGCCTGAAAGTTTGTTCAAATCTATTGCTGCTCACATGTTTCCCTGGGCCAAGCTGTGGATTATTTTAGGGCAAACTGATTGGCTTTATAACAGGTATTTACATGGAACTCCAAAACACATAATTCACACAACCAGTTTAAAACACTCAGCAAGAGCTGTTACTTTAACCTTCCTCCCCACATCCCAGAATTCTGTTTTCACATTAACTACTTTCAGAATGTTTCAACCATTGGTCCATGATTTTTACAGTTCTTCAGAGCTTCAGCGCTTTTGCAGAATCAATACTTCAAGTAGATCTGCATTAAAAAGCAGTGATAAACTGCAGTCCTCTGCCACCACAAGATAACTTCTTTCAAAATAACGAGGCATGTTCTCCATTAATTCCAGAGACTTCTCCCATTACTGCCCTGGCCTGCCAAAGATGGGGCAAACCTACAGAGACCGAAACAAGCAGTTTTGTTTAACAGCTAACTATAATGACTCAGAGACTGTGAAAGAATTCATTCCCTAAGCTGTATAATACAGAAGTCATTCCAGTTTGCTCTATGAAAGACAGGGTAGCTGTACTGGGCTGAAATACCAGCTTGGAACCATCCCTGATGTGCTATCCTGAGCCAAGCCAAAGTCTAATGGCACAACAGCTTCCCAAAGAGCTTTGCCTCCACTTTTCAGTTCCTAGTTTGGGACTTGCTTGATCTCTCCTAACAGCAATATCCCATGTCCTGTGCATAGAGCAGGCTTCCCAGGGGTTGCAAGAGCTTATTTTATTTTGGTGCTCTCCTGCTTTCACCCTGCTCCTGAACAAAAAGGGCTGCTGTTCTGCACACCAGAGGTGATGGTCAAGCAGAGGCAAGCAAGGTTCTGGCTTGGTGTGGTATTCATTCAAAATTCTTTATACCCCTGAAGTCATAAACTGAATTATTTAACAATGTCTTTTTCCAGGTCAGTTGTTCGTTCCTGTTTGTAGGATTTGGCTGTTTAAGGCAGACTATTAATCAAGCTCGTTCAAAGCATAGAGCATTGTCTTCTAATATTAACAGCAAATTATACAAATGGGTTAGGTAAGAGATCAGCTCTGTAACATTATTATGAATCCTGTAGAGACATTTGAGAGCACCCTTAAGTTTGACATCTGGTTTAGCTACATGACTGGGCTAGGTTTTTCATATGTAACTGCTATTGAAGAGTTAGTATCCCTCATTAACATCTCCATCACTTTCTTTCGAGTCTCTCTTAAATGGGGGTACTCTCCCTTTTTTCTTCAGTAAGGAGGGGTTCAAAAGTTAGAATGACCAAAATTGTATCAGAAATGGAGAGTGGCAAACCAGTATTCTTTGCTTGGTGCTCACTGCCAAAGAATTTCAGAAAGGACCAGAGTTTTTCAGCAAGCCTAGTAGGAAAGTAACAGAAGCTTGATCAGGCATATTGCTGTAACTACAGCCCAGCTACTAAACAGTACAGTTTATTTATGTACAGATATGACATCTCTAGAACTTTATTTTTCTGGTGTTGTTGAGGTTTTTTTTGGTTCTCTTTTCTGTCCTATAAATCCACTAGTCACTAGATGACATCCTAGCTCTGTCACAAATCAGAACTGCAGGGAACACAAAACCTAGATCCTGATTCAGTTGGCAAATGAGCTCAATTTCTGTTTACTCCAGTAAGGTTTGAGAATGCAAGTGGCTTTTTAGGAGTGTCTTTGGTCTATATATTTAGCCTGTATCCAAAGAGGTATCATGGATGGGACTGAGTATTTCCAAGAGAGTTTTTGAACTTGAACGTAGAGTGGCCTGCCTGAATTACCCTTGATACAGGAGAAGTTTTACGACAGAAGAATTATGACAGTAATTTAGGAGAACAAAACACTTAGCAATAACACTACTTCAAAGTTTCATTCAGGGAATAGATGCATTAGCACCTCTGACTGTTAATAGAGGAAAAAGAGGAGTTTCTCCTTTCAACACAGCAGTGCAAGTTGAATCAAATGTGATAGCTTGTGAAAACATCACTAGGGATAAAATGGAAAGTCTAATATTAAATTCTGAAATAGGCTGGTTCATAGAAAAAATAGAGCTGGGATCAATTCTGTTTGGGAAGAGAAGCAACTTCATAAGCTTTGTTAACAGTGGAAGCATTGATAGGACCAATCATGCTTTAAGGATTTTGGTAACCAATTTCTTACAGAACTCTCAAACTGCAGTTTTATTAT